GGAAATTTGACAAGACATGAATGTACAAAACAAATAAGAATACTGAAAATCATGAGTCCAAATAAAAACCAAAAAAAAAAAAAACTTCAAAATTGTGATATTGATTGAAAATATGCTGCAATAGCTGTCTGTTCAGATGATTTATAATACATTTTAGGAGAGTAAATGTAGATAACATAGGGTGGACTCGTCTGAATTGGGAAACTCATGGGATCTGGGAAAACAGATACAAAGAGAGGCACGATGACTAAGTGACCCAATTCTGCAATACTGATAGAAACAGATAAACAGACAATTCCTTTTCTCTCTCTAGAAAAACACATCAATGCTGCCACAGATATATCTTTGTGAAATGTGTTCTTCTTTCCCAGTTAAAATTACTAGTATCACCCAACTATAAGTTCCACAGTTTGTGTAGTTTACTTAACAGTTAAGAACAACAAATGAGAAAATTAAACATACCTCTCTCTTGTCAATATAAACAGATTAAGTCAAAATCTAGATCTGTAAGCTGGAATTACCAAACACCCGCTTTAAAATTATGGAGCTTCATTTGAAGAAATGGCATTTATATCCCAACAGGGCACATAATAAACATCCCTTATTTTAAAATGCCCAAACCAGTACAAATCCCTCATGCTAAATGTGTGCTAACCAAAGTATGTGTACCTTTCCTACTCAAACAAGGCACACAGGAAGATCTGTTATAATGTAAAATAGCATTCCTCTGTGGTGATTAGTTAACCTGCATTTAGTTGTTAAGTGTTAAGTTGTTAAGCATGCATATAAAACAGAGTCATCCCTAAATTTAATATTATTCAAATCACACACTGATCCACCTTTTAAAGAAGGTTGTTCCTCTTGAGTTAACACAGGAACAACAGTCTGTTCACTCAGTGTCTATGTGTGAAGACCTTAGGGCTGTGAGGAGAGAACGGGTTAATGTCCAAGTGGTTCTCCTGAATCAGCTGGTACTCCTGGAGCAGCTGATCTACATCCAGTCTGACTGCGCACTCCTCATCGTCTTGGATCAGAATAATAACAGTGGCTCCATCTTAACAAATGTCAGTGGTTGCAAAAATTCTCACACGTTTGTCAAGAGGAGAGTAATAAACTAAAGATTCCTAAATATAAATAAATTAATATAAAATAACAAAAAATAGCATTTTTTTCCCTTCTATAATAATTTTAATACATTAACTGTGTTTGTAGTCACAGAACTTAAATCTGACACCCAATATTTGAAATTTGCATTCATGTATTGTACTTATGATCATGTTTGTGTCTGTTTGTAGTTTGTGTAATCTACTTTTTAAAGTGCAAAACGAAATAAGAATTGTACAAAACAATTTTAAAAACAGGAGTAGACTGCACTGCTTTGTGAATCCCCATCATGGAGAGACACAAGACAGACTTGCATATTCCGACTAGGAATGATTTGCTATACAAGGTGTCAGCATGTATCAGTCCTGTTCGAGTAAAGCTGGAGGAGAAAAAATGCATATGTAGTAAAATGTGGAGCGACAGCTGCACCGGGCTCCATCTCTGCTGATTCAAGCCCTCTGTTTTACAAAAGCAAACTCAATCTCCCTCAGAATGTCATTATAGGGAAATCCATATGGTGAGTGAGCGGAGCAGCCAGATCTGAATCCTATTACTGGGAAAGAGTGACAGGTCGGCTCTGTGGGATGCTACGGAAACCGAGAGAGTATGAACTGTGTGCGGATATCTGAGTGTGTGTGTGTGAAGGACTGGTCTCTGGCAACGTTGACAAGAGAGCAGTAGGGCAGAGCTGGCAGGTGAATGCAATGTGAAATTCTTTGACTTCTCCTAGTGAATGTGTCACACCCTGACAGCCGGGCAATGTGACGATAAAATGGGCCTTCTCTCCTTCACTTAACCCCTTCTCCCTCTCTGTCATCCTTAGATGCCTTTATTTAATCTTTCCTTTCTTTTGTTTTAAATCTAACTCTATCCCTCTGAAAACTCTATTCGTTGCACAAATCCTTTGGTCAACTTACTCCTGGTTTGATTTTTCCCTGAATATTTGGAACTTCACCCTTGGAAATCATTTTTCTCACTCATTATATCCTTCTGTCTATCAGGCACTCAGTCATACCTGCTGCTATGTAATCAGTGGGGGCTTCACACTGCTGCGCAGATCAGAGGAAATAAAGCATAGCTCCGCTCAACAAGGTTTTGCTTTATGTGCCGCATTAAAGGTGAGTGGGTCACCCTTCAGCTTCAGTTTACTGTCACGCTGTCATGCTGTCAGCAGGGAACATGTAGAGAGATGTACGCACAAGTGTGCTTCTGTGTGTGTGATATAATTGTGCCTACATACATTTTCTTCAGAGCAGCAAATGAATCAGGATATGCATTCACTGAATGTATATACATCAGTACATACATCCAGTGATGTATGTACTGATGTATATACATACTGCTTCTTCAGAAGGCATGTTATATTGCAAAGCAGCATATTACCGCTCTCCTACCACTTAACCTCAGCAGATGAATTTTATCTTACATTGAACAAGACAAAGAAGACAACATACTGTGCAAGGGCTGGTGACACATTCTGTGTAGGCTAAGAATTCATCATATTAATATATGAAGGTGACAGCAGGTTAAATCAAACACATTCATGCCTCTTCTGTAGCAAATCAACCAGAAAGTCCTATATAAAGCGCCATAATTAGGTTCACAGAGGTGCTTTGTGAAGCATATCATTTAGCAGCAATCGCTGAACTAATGGCCCTGACAAATGAACCAGTGTCATCCCATACATGGGCCGACAACTGAGTGACCCCATCGAGTAACTGCATTTTACAATATCGTATAAGGTAACCATATATCTCCTAGTCTGTGTGACGGAGGGGTTAGACAAGTTTCAAACACACATGCAAGATTACTCTGACAGTTTTAATATCACAACAGTTTAGCTGATGTGAATAAACAAATCTTAGCTATCGGATAACTTGTTCAATAAAAGGTGCTATCATTACCAAACAATGTTATTTTACTGGATTGACTTCTTGTTTAACTACCAGGTAATAAACATCAAACTTCCTTGTGTTATTAAATTCTGACAAATACTTTTAAGCTTAATTACAATCAGACAGTTCACAGGGATTCCCACTGGAACAGCTGCTTCACTGCTGCAGGACATTTAATTTCTAACTTCACATCAATTTGTGCATAATTTACCTTTTACAGCTCCTACACTGTGTGCGGTGAGTAAGTACCAGTTAATGATAGCACTGCAGCTCAAGCGCAAACATAAGAAGAGCTCTAAGCATGTAGCAGAAAGAAAACATGACTGCCTCCCCACATAGGTGGTTGCACATTTATTAGTACCAGTGTTGCATTGACATAAACATTTAAAATTTGTATGAACAAATTTCATTTGTTTTATGACTTAAGCATCCAGGATCTGCAAAAGCATACACAGTGCATCTCATCTTCATTTAACATTTTAGTAAGAAAATACAACTTCACGCCCTGCATGTATCACACCTACTGTTTTGCAGATAAGCAAAACTAGCAACACTACTTGCAACACTTTCAAAATGAGCTACTGTATTTCACATCGTATTTAGAAAAAAATTTATTACAATATAAACAACTTTTCCAACCATAACCTATAGTGACATGCTTAAAGTGCATGTTTTATTTTTATTTAAAAACAAAATTTTTAAAGGGTGGCATACAGATGTATTCGGTCATCTTTGCTCTGTTATTCCTAAATAAAATTATGTGAAACCAATCACATTTAGACATCTTCTAATTACTCTAGCAGATCACCCACTTGTTAATTTCCATATTAATAAAGCTTTTGGTTATAAGGCATCAGAGGTTTTCTAGAGAACATTAGAAACTTACAGCATCACAAAGAACAAGGAATGCATTAGACTGGTCATTGGGGTTGAGATCTTCAAATCAGATACTGGTATAAACAAATAATCTAAAGCTTTAAACATTTAAAATGTTAAAGAGAATGACACAGCTCCAACTCTACCCAGACATGACCAACATCCTTAACTCAGGACAAACAGGGAAAGAATTTTTTAAGGATCTCATTAGAACTCTTGGGGGCATCAGAGATTCACAGGTCAGGTAGGGACATTTCTTGACAGTATGATTCATTCAGCCTAAAAATCTAGCCATTATGCAACAGTGGCAGGAAAAAAGCAAGACAATCATTTTTCAATAGCCAAAAGAACTCCCATTTGTGTTTTTCCGATTTGTCTGTTAGAGAACAAGCAGGAGGAGATCTGGTCAGACATGAGCGAAACTTTGCCTGCATGAAAACAAAAAGTATGGAGGAAAACACTGCAAGCGAATAGGAGGTTGAGGGGGCATTGTGTCGTGAGGATGAAAAAGCTGATTAAAAGGATGGCGCTGAATTAAGGGCAGTCTCAGAAGTAAATAAGTTCTGGCTGGATTTTCACTCTCTGGTAGGAAAAAACAACCAAATATACAACTATAGACAAAGGATATTAAATCCAAAACAGAATCTGTTGTAAGACTTGAACATTAATGATCACATATCCTCTATCCAATCTGAGTTGAAGGTATTTTTTAACCATAACAGCCAAAAATTTTGTTTTTTTTCTAGATGTTTAAAATTGATAGCGACATGGGCCAAAAGACTTGCTGTTCTACCTTAAGGGGTTCTAAAAAAAATAACTCAGGGATATAAATGAATATGAATAATTTTTCAAAGCAAGGCTGAAAACTATTTAAAATAAGGTGTGAATACAGTAAGTTTACAACTCACAGTATTAGATCAAAAGATTGGGTGTAACACCAGTACAAAGCAGAGGCTCTTAATCTTTTTAAGATAAAAAAAAAAATGGAAAAAGAGAAAAATTAGGTGCAGAAAGTAATTACATATAGCAGTGGATCTGGATTTATCTCTGCATGGAGAATCAATATTCATTAAACTCTAAACACACACATACATAAACACTGAATATAAAAATGTTCTTACATACCCTGTATTTTGAAAGGTCGATCCTCAATGAGTTATGAAGCTGGTCCAGTAATTTGACGAATTTCTCCCTCTGTTAAGATCAGAATTTAATAATTCAGCTTCCACCCAAAGCACCATGCCAAAAAAATTTATAACACCTCCTGGTCTGTGGTATTGCCTGTCTGCAGTGATTCATTTTTAGTTCTTGGAATAATATGTAGCATTTTAGCTATGCTGTCAGATTCAGATTGGTGCCTGAAAATATGATTTTGGGTCTTATAGCATTAGTTTATTAAAATTCTGAATGAATGACATTTGCAGATATATCTAATGGTTGGATTTTCAGTGTATAAATTACTTTAGAATATTAACTGAAAAGTAGCACAAGAAGGGAGTGATGTCAGAAATTCCCCAAAGCCAGCTAGGGCTTTGCCCTAATGACTCAAAATTTAAAGGAGCACTTACCCCGAAGTTAGAGGCAGCAAATCGGTCAGAAGCAGAGGCGGTAGTGGTTGTGGTGGTGGTCGTGTGAGCAAAGTAGGCATTGATATTGGCAAGCAAGTTGCTCATCACTGCCGGCACACCAGGACACATGTATTTGGCAGACAGACAAGAGAAATGCCTGAAGAGGAGAATAAACAGCTATCAGCTTACTGTAAGTGTCTTACAGAGTCCAAAAGAAACATCTATCTTCTCATTGCCAAGAAATACAAGACAACCACTGATTAAAGGCGCATGCAAAGGAAATTAAAAAAATATTATCACCCCATTAACTCTTTTTACATTCTTTCAAATTACAACTCATGACCTGAATGTATGCTTTTAGATTTTGAGTGATTTAAAAAAAAATAAAGGGGGTGTTACTGCAAAGAGGAAGGAAATTATTTCTAACAAAATAAATCTTAATATTGCTGTGTTCTAATAAATTCAACCCCATTCCTTCCATATCAAAAACATAAGATGTTGCTGCTAATTGCTTTTAGAAAATAAGCAGTTAGTAAACAGAATCCATTCATTCTCAAAATAAACAGCTGTATAGCTGATTGGTGAAGACCTTATAAAACATTTGAGAAAAAACAGTGTCAAGAAGACCTCATAACACAACATAAATGTCAAGAATTAAGTTGTGGAGATATTTAAAGAGGGATTAAGTTATGAAAAACATCCCAAGCTTTGAATAACTTGCAGAGCTCTGGTCAATATATTGTTCAAAAAATGTCCTCTAACAGCTGCCAACTTACCAAGACATGGCTGGGCATCTGTACTTGGAAGTCAAGAAACTACGGCAACAAGAAATAATAACTCTACACCTCATACTTACTTAACTCATCATCCCTACTGTGTCAAACATGAGGGTCACAGAATCATTCTGTGGGGATGCTTTGTTTCAGCACCAACGATACAATTCGGTTTATTTATACGGCACCAACATACAACACAAATTATCTAAAGGCATAGTACAGAGAAAATTCAATCCATTCATAAAGTCAGATTGGTAAAAAAAAAATCAGCAAAACCAGCAGATTGTATTAAATCATTGACTTGCAGGCCACATTCCTGTTGAATGAGCAGTAGATGACAGCAGATATTCATTTGTATATTGTTGTTGACTTTAAAGCAAAATCCCTCACAACCAGCATGCATGCAGGGAAAGTGGAGAGGAAAAACTCTCCCTTTAACAGGAAGAAACCTCCAGCATAACCAAGCTTAGAGTGCGTTCACATCGAACCCATTTTAGACGTCAAAGCATCGAATTTGAATGCAAAGTCAATGGCGGGGGCAGCGCTGAGAGGTCGAGCAGGCGTGTACGAACTTTGGGAGCGGCGCATCTCAGCATTCTGGCATCCAAAAATTTGAGTGTTTGACGCTGGAGTTTCATTTAGGATTTGATGTTGCCCCCTGGCAAACAACTATAGTCCCTGATTTCTGTAATGCCATGTCTCTGACTATGGAGGTAACAATGATCAGGGTGGTCTTCTCAGTGGATGTGTCACTGAGTGGAGAAAATCGTTTACACATGCAGACGGGTTAGTGGTGACAAGTGGGCGAAGTTCAAGAACTGCGCTTTCTATTTACCATCACCCAACCATTTTTGATTTCTGGCTGTTCAGGAACTGTTGAAGGAGCACTATGTAGATGTTTCCCTGGACTTGGTCTATCCAAGCTGTTAGCTAATAGGCCTGGTCTAACTCCTGGATGTTCAACAGCTCAAAACCAGAGATATTCAATTAAATTAAATTCAGTTTATTTATATAGTGCCAATTCGCAACACATATAAGCTCAAGGTACTTTACAGGTCAACAGATCATACAGTCATATTGATTAAAAATGTTCTATGTAAGGAAAACCAGTTGATCGCATCGACTCATTGACTCGAAGGCAATCCCTCACACTAAGAATGCTTGTAGCGACAGTGGAGAGGAAAAACTCCCTTTTAACAGGAAGAAACATCCAGCGGAATCAGGCTCAGTGTGAGCGGCCATCTGCCAAGGCCGACTGGGGTTCAGTCGGTCTGATATAACAGATATAACAGAGAGTCAGAAAACAGTTTTCGGAGACAGAGAAGGAGGCCATAGAAGTCAGATGCTAGTGGTAGGCTAGCTGCTGTTTACCATCAGGAATAAAAACAGTGCGAACATGAAAAGTACAGAAGTAGACAATGTATTTAAAAGTGCTTCTGTACAGTTAGTATAACTTCAAGATTTTACTGAAAGAGACTTAAGCTCAAAATTAGAGCCAAAGCAACACCACAGGACACAGGTCTACAACAGTCGAAGCAGGAAGTGATGCAATATGCATTATGAACAGCACCCTGTTCAGGAAGATGGATAAAACTCAACACAGGGCTGTAGTCTATTTGGCAAACTTTCAGCTGGGGAAGGAGTCTTAAGATGGACCCTGAGATAAAGTATTAAGCTTATAGATACTTGATTGAAGCACATAAAGCTGTAACTGCGGTAAAATTTGGTTCTACAAAGTGTGGATTAAATACATCTCCATGCCATATTTTAAAGTAATTTTAAGAACAAAGCATAGTTTTTCTTCCGCGCAAGTGTTTCTGCCTTTTTTGTTTTCACCTATGCTTATAAAATAAAATGAGTTATGTTGTAGCAAAAAATATTACAATCTTCAAGGTGGGTGAATAATTTTTTTAGGCAGAGCATCAAGGAGATGCACTGCCTAATAATGCTGTAGAACTTTATTATTTTCACCTCCAGACCGTTGCCTTTCTAAGGATTAATTTTAATGTTCCGAACAATTACCTTTGCCAGAATAGTTGGAATATAAGTCTTCCTGACTGCACTGTTCATCCAGCAGAAGAGTGTCTTCAACGGCCATAACAAATTGTACCATTAATCAGAGCTGTATAACAAGTGCAGTTAATGACATGACAGTGTAGTGGGGTATATGGAATAATGTGTGACAGTAAACCAAAAGATCAAGGGGTTGAATGCTGAAACCCATCTATTCTGTAAAGAAAATGGTTTCCTTTTTCCTTTATGTCCGTGAAGATTCATTTAGACAACTACGACGTGATGTTTCCTCAAAAATGCTTATTCTACAAACACTTAATCTTATTTCTGTATCTGCTGCCTTTAAACTCTGAGAGATTTAGACCCCCTACTGTTAGAGAGTGGATGGCATTTCTGTGAAGATTATCAGTCATCCTGAGTGCTAAACAAAGCAAAAAGGACATGTTGGGTTTACCAATGGCAAATCCTTTAACTTTCAGGAAGCTGTTTTTATAGCAAATGGGAGTAAGGTGAGTCCTTAGCATCAACCTCATGTGGAGTCATTAGCCCATCAAGGTCATGTGTAAACTGCTGAAATGCAATGTTAAGGTGTAAGAGGAATGCAGCTTCCTGACCAGGAATTTAACGTTTTCTCTGTAAGTCAAAAAACTTAAGTGTTGAAATTTCATTTGTCAAACTGAACAGGCTCTTTTTGGGCAAGTGAATTCAACAGAATTGGATAGTTGGAGCACCTGAAAGAGCTTTTACTACCACTTTTGATTGATCACTGGCCAAGAATGTTAACCTGCCAGCATTAACTTATTGGTCTAAAAATAATTATCTGTGGCTCTTCAAAATAATCCAAGGTTAATGGAGAAACTATTCACTGGTGAAAGGAAGCAGCATGTCGATGAAATAAACAATTGCAGGTCATTCTAGCTGCTATTTTAAGAGCTCAAAAAAATACTGACAAAACTTACTGTATGCAACAGAAAAAGGTGCATGAAAAGGTTGAAAACTCAGCTAACATTTGAGGTATCTGGAAGGTATGGGGTATAGTGTGTTGGTCAACTGTATCGGTCTGGCAAAAAAACTTCTCTCTTTTGCTATTTTTCATTCATTATGTCAACAATATGTCTGACCAGGTGGGACACTATTATTGGTCCATATTCCCAACATCCTGTATCTTCATAGCCACCCCAAACCTGATCTAATTTTCATTGACGATGCCCCAGTGTGACCTAAACTGAGATTATACCATGAAAAAGGAAATGCACATTAGATCAAACGTCAATAAATAAGATGTATTGGTCAATAAAAAAGTTGGTTCCAGGTACATCAACGACTGCCTCTTTTACACAGAAGCCCCTTTCACAACATTTTAAATATGTATTTCATGTATTTCTGTGGATTATTGTAAAAGAACAGACATTGACAGTTTCCAAATTTGATGCAAATCACTGGAGCTTCATCAGAATAGGTGATTGAAACTAGAAAAAAAAGAGAGAAGGTATCACATGACACCATTATTTTTTACAATCAAAAATATGTGTCACCCTGTTGACCACTTAGGTCTAATTTGATTATGTCGATGCTAGAATGATTTTTGAAAGCTAACATGAGTGTAGTTATTGTTAATGTTGTTGTGATTGAGGAAGAGCTGCTCAGAGAGGGTCTTTTCTTGAAAGGTTTTCAATTTAACTAGTTCTTTGTTGTTGTATTTAGAGAACAGTGAGCGAGATTTGCAAGTATATTAAATACACCATACCAAGTAGGAGGAAGGCTGAATTTTGTTCTGCTTTATCCTTTCTTTAACCTTTCTTTAACTTATAACTTTAACAGTTCATCCAGGAATGTCTTTAAAAAATGTCCTTGTTTTGTTATATGTATAAATACCTTGTTTTACAACAGTTATTCTCTAAGCACCCAAATATAAGTCTTCTCTACTTCTGTTGATACCAATTAATGCCAAATCAGCCACATTCTGAATATCAACATTTTTGCTTTAGTAGGTTGTGCTTTATGAATGACTTAAGGGTGCAGACTATTTTAAACTATCACCCTGTCGCATTAAAGGCCTTATAAAATCCCTGCTTACTAATGTTTAAAGATATAGAAGCCAATCTTTAATTTCTGAGTGGATCATCTAAATAAGTGGTCCTCCTAACTGTCGATAATTCTGGTAATACAGTATGTTTACATGTACGTAAGGCTGCCACACATGCTTGTCACGTTACCTATCTGTCGCATGTGCACTTTCAGGCTTATATCTCTGGTGAGCTACGGTTTCAGACACTCCTTGAAGCTCACCTTTCTCACCGCGGTTCTTTGAAAAAGAGAAAAAGTGTCTATGAAGTATATGAGAAGAAAACAAAGGCCTCAGAAGAGG